TAGTCGCATTCGATTACTTTTTTCGACCCAAAATTTGTCGCACAGTGTATTCGATCACTGTGGTTCATTTTTTCTCATTCTTTCATGAGCAATCGTATGGTCTCCTAATGTGATAACGAACACCAATCATTGATAGGACGGACAAATTTTTGTCCGTCCGTTTAAAAATTGTCCGTTTCCGTCCGTTTGATATATTTTGTCCGTCCGTCCTAAAAATATGTCCGTCCGTCCGTCCTAAATCCCAAACGGACGGACAATTTCATTTTGTCCGTCCTGGAATTCTAAACGGACGGACAAAATGAAATTGTCCGTCCTGAAATTCGAAACGGACGAACAATTTCATTTTGTCCGTCCTTGAATTCTAAACGGACGGACAAAATGAAATGTCCGTCCTTGAACCCCAAAACGGACGGACGGACACGAAATGTCCGTCCGCTGTCCGTCCTATTGACACCTTTAGTTCCGGCAAAACAAAAACCACAGTCATTCGACTGTGTTTGATATCAGTCATTTTGAGTGGTAAATCCACGCACAGGAGCGTCACTCCATTTTAACCTCGTCTAGAGGTTTTTCATCTGATATCACTAATTTTGTAAGGCATTTTTTTCTTTTGGAAAAATACATTTTTATGTAGAAGTATGTCTATTTTGAGGTCTTATTATTAAGAAATTGCAATTTTCTGCTTAACACATCCGCGTTCAATTTTCAAAAATAATGGAGATTGCACTATCTAATTTCAGGACTAATTCTTGGATGGAGTAAAAGTCTTAAAATCCAATATGGAGATATTGGAAAAGCTGGCCAAAAACAGTTCTAATTTTCACCTTTCGTTGCAGAAAGTGCACAGCTAAAGAACATCTTACTTTTAAACATTTAAACATGGATAATGTTTTTTTCGAACATTATTATCATTAAAATGCTGGAATGATTCCAATTGAATTCGTTCGAGTCAGAGAAAACTTTGTGTTGCCACCCACTACAATACTAGTCTGTTATGGTCTGTTATGACATCATGCCATCACTGATTTGTAATTTTTCAGCCCGAATCCCATTTGGAGTGGAAACACAACCCGACAAGTTTTCTCTGATCCAATGGGCACAAAAGTATTGTCATTATCTTGAACAATGACGTTAGTTAGTATCTTGAGCAATTGCGCAATTACGATTTTTTTATTCCACAAATTAACATTACCTACAGGTAGGCGGAGTAAGAATGTATAATTTCATATCCTACTCCTACTCCCATACAAACGGAAAATGAGTATGTCTCGACATACTCATTTTCGATTTTTTTCCTTCTCAGGAAAAGTTGTATATCCTTTATATGTTTTTTCTGAGGAGGGAAAAACGAGTGAGTAAGTGTAGAGTTACTCTTTCGCAAAAAAATGAGAAGGTCGAGACATACTCAAAGTCAAAGAGTAATTACTCTGCGTATATACTCTCTTACTCAAAGAGTAACTAATGAGTAGGAGAGTAGGTCGAGACTTACTCATTTCAAAAATGATTGAGTAGGAGAGTATATACTCGCGATTTCACCCACCTGTAACATTACCAAGATAATTTATTTTAATCGTTTAGCTCGAAAAAAAAGTTTACTCATTCCTATTGTATGTCTGCATGCAAATAATATCAACGACTCAGACTAAAAAAAGAAGAAATTCCGTATATTACTTTTCCGCAAACTTTGTTTGTTATGTAAAGTATTGGTTTTACTAGCCAAAATTTCATGACATCTCCTCTTTCGGACCACTATAACGTCGCGCCAAACTCCAAAAAGCACATATCTGTACACTAGGCAATGTAGATGGGATTAAATCCTATCGATCAAGACCTATTTGCCCCCCAAAAACTATGAAAAATGTGTAAAATTGCGATGTGCGTATGGCGTCGTTCGCGTTCTATGAAAACTTGTTCGCCGGATATCTCAAAAAGTTGACGAGATAATCGAGATCTGTAAGAGCCAAAAGTTTTGGCGTGTCAAGACAAAGCTTCGGATTGATTTTGAGCCCATTCTGATCCACCCATTTCATACCATAAGCCTCCGACTGATGACCTGAAAACGCTTGTAAAATGACACTTTTGTAAAAAAATTGCCCAAAAAGCCATTTTTCATGGTTTTGGTCAATGCAAACTTATGTTTTTTTGCAAAAAAAGGGAACCTTCGAACAACCAAGCACCTACCAAGCACTTGCCCATAAATTTGGTCCAAAACTGACATTTCTTGAAATTTTTGAAATTCTGTTCGAAAATGACATTTTTATATGGAAAATGGTCAAAATAGTTTTTTTTCAAGCTCAGAAGTGCTATGAAAAGAGTTTTCATTGAAATTTTGGTTAAATACTAAGCGAAAGGTAAACCAAATTGCCGCGGAGCGGAAAAGTTTGGATTACGTATGTAATTCGTTTTATTTACGTATTGCTTTTATTGTGGCCCTGATAAGATTGAAAGTGAAATTTGTGGTACTGTAGATGACGGTCTAAAAATACGCATGAAAAATCTTGTTCACGACAAACATTTTACTACACGTCATTTCCAATCAGTCTATTGTGATTTAATTTTCTTATTCATTCGTTGATAAAAGTCAAATGTCCCATTGATACGCGTACACAAATTTAAACACATAATTTACATGTTGTATGGAAGTAGCGCAGTTGAAGCGAGATTTACATTTGTATTGATGTTTAATATCTCTTTTCATTTTACATAATACACATAAACTTACGTATGTGTTTGTCTGCAATAAAAGTTGCCTACACTCAGACTCACTGCACAATAGTGATGTAAACAAATTCAACGAATGGAAGCAATAAGAGAGCAAAGAAGAACGGAAAAAGAGGGAGAAAGAACCAATAAAGTTGGTTTTTGTTCGTTCCATATCGCGGTCGTGTGGAATTATAATTGTTTTAATCATCCAGATATCGCACTAACACACAAATATATGATGTAATGCTTACTGATAGTAATAGCTACAAAATGCACAATAACATCGCTTTGTTTTGATATTACCGTTCAGTATACGATCACGACCGATTAAATAAAGTTCATTTGTCTTTAATAAAATACGCATTTAAAAAAAATCACTCAACCGAATCCAATGTGTTGAAATGGATTTTTTGAGTGGGCTTGCTATTGTTCTTATTTCGATTGTGACTATTGTGTATGGTTATTTTAAATATTCGTTTGGCTATTGGAAATCGCGAAACATTCCACATGAAGAGCCATCATTTCCATATGGAAACATCAAAGGCTTTGGCACAACAATTCATTCATCACTTTGTATCAAACGAATTTACGACAAATTCAAACCGACTGGTGCCATATTTTGCGGCGCATATTTCTTTGCTCGTCCCGTGGCAATCATACTGAATTTGAATTTTTTGAAGAATATTCTAGTAAAAGATTTCGCCAATTTCAATGAGAGAGGCTTCTTCTACAATGAAGAAGACGATCCAATTAGTGCGCATCTGTTTGCTATGGATGGTGATAAATGGAAAGAATTGCGTGCCAAGCTAACGCCAACATTCACGGTAAGCCGTTATAGCATCAATACGGTCTGAAGTGTACTACTATATCCCCAATCGATGAAACTATTTTTTTTTGTTTCAAATGTTCGCAGAGTGGGAAGATGAAATTCATGTTTCCGACGGTGGTCGAAGTCGGTAAACGATTTAAAGACTGTCTTATCGATGTTGTCAAAGAAAACGATGAGCTGGAAATTAAGGAGCTGTTGGCACGGTTTACCACTGATGTCATTGGAACGTGCGCATTTGGTATCGAGTGTAATAGCTTGAAAGATCCAAATGCTGAATTTAGAAAATACGGTCGTGAAGTGTTCGGAAAACCGCGACACAGTCCATTGGCTGGCGTATTCTTGGGCGGCTTCAAAGGCACGGCCAGAAAACTACACATCAAAAATATTCGCGATGATGTTTCGGAGTTTTTCATGAAAGTGGTTCGCGACACAGTCGATTATCGAGAGAAAAACAATGTGAATCGTAATGATTTTATGGACATTTTGATCAAACTAAAAAATCAAAAGGGAAACGATAAAGACAAAATAACACTAAATGAAATCGCAGCACAAGCGTTCGTTTTCTTCCTCGCTGGATTTGAAACGTCGTCGACAACACTCACATTTTGTTTGTATGAATTGGCTATGAACGCCGAGATACAAGTCAAGGCCAGGCAAGTGATTCAGGAGGCGTATGAAAAACACGGAAAATTCATATACGAAATGATGTTAGACATGCCCTATGTGGATCAAGTGCTTCAAGGTAAGGCTCATTTTAGCTTAGGATCATTTTTTGTTCATAAATTTGTAAATTTTTGATAAATTTTTTTTCTTCAATTTTTTCATTTTTTTAAACTCTCCTCTGATTTTTCACATATTTTTCTCAGTTTTTCATCACTCTGTTTCCTTCGATAAAATTCATTATTTCGGAGGAAGTTATTTTAAATAATCTTTCATTTGCATAAAAATAATATTTCTTCTGTTTCTTTCACCATCATACACAAACAGAGACCCTTCGTAAGTATCCTCCTCTGGCTAATTTGAATCGTTACACAAAAAACACATACAAAGTGCCTGGAACGGATGATGTCATCGAAAAAGGAACACCAATTATCATTCCCGCATTGTCCATTCAACGCGATCCAGAATACTATCCAGACGCAGAGAAATTCGATCCGGATCGATTCAACAGTGAAGCAGTAAAGCAACGAGATGCTATGACTTGGTTGCCATTTGGTGAGGGTCCCAGAAACTGCATTGGGCTTCGTTTTGGCATGATGCAAGCACGCATTGGACTTGTGACCATCCTGAACAATTTCGAAGTTTCATTTGGCCCCAAATCTACTGTACCTCTTGTCATCGATGCAAAATCAGCATTCTTATCACCTGAAGGCGGCGTTTACTTGAAATTCAAACCGATTCAATCGTAAAAATTTCCGAATACGATTGTCATAATCAAAACGTACGTTATAAGGTGCTTTTAGCCGTACTAATCGGACAACAAACTCTTCTCGATAACTATAACAAAAAATAGCTGGTACTTCGTATATAAATTGAATTGTATTCAACTCAAATGTTGCTCGCTATTTGATAAATACCTTTGTGTATCGATTAATACTTTTGATCTTGATAAATAATAAAGTATTGCTTGAATATTTCATCTGATTTCAAGTCGAAACCATTTTTCAATAGCTAAAAAATGATGTGGGGTTCTTTGAGAAATGTTTTAAGAACGTTTGAACCAGGGTGGTTTTTTTTTCATTTCTCAAAGAAATGGCATTTTTTTAAGAATAAAAAACAAGAAATCCAATTTAAATTTTTGGGCAAATAACAAAGGAATGGAAAGTTTTTTGCTTTTCCTTTTGAGGTGAACATTGACCTTAGCCGTTAGAGTGATGAACACTGACCTATGATATGTTCGGTATCGATCTCAGCTGAACATTACTGCTTTTTGTACACTATAGCGTGATCGTGTATGACATAGTATGACAACAGCTGTTTGCGTTCTGTTTTGTGTTCGGTGTCCGCAACGACATTCTCTCTCAAATAAGTGTTTACTTCAAAGCAAGTCTTACTGAATGCACACACAAACCCAATGTATGGCATTGTGTGCTATGCGTCAAAGAATCAAAGAATACCGCTACTACACTTGTTATAAAAACTATATTGAACATTTTATTTTTTTTTTTCAATTTTAAATCCAAGGCTTTAGATTGGAATATAGTTATTTTGGAGAAGTGCACCGAGCTACGGAGCAACGGTCGCACCGTAATATTGTAGAATTTGCATACGTCAAACATGTTCCATGCTTCAAGCATGGTGCTTAAATACGACCGAAAACGAATAGTTTTTTTCAAAACCGAGCCACTTGTGTTGCTTTCCGCTTTTCTCATCGTTCGATTTTACCTTTCTGGCAATATTCAAATTTTGTTTTCATTTTTTTCAATTTTTCCAATGTTTTATCTACTGAAACCCAAATGTAACATTATATCAATGAAACAACGATTATGGCACATCACTGAAATTCCATCATGGTATTTCTACAATTGAAAAATATTTTTTTTGATAATTAAACATCGTGCTTCTAATAAATTGGCCAATGGCCATAGCATCAATTTGATGAGTCACGGTGAAAGTGTCATTCTGCTTTGGATTGTGTTTCTTATTTTGAATTATAGAGCATCAAGTCAAGCGAACAAGTGTATCGCACCATAAAGCTATTGTACCACAGCAATACATTTTAGTGTGCTATCATCGTTCACAGGTGCGTGATGTTTTGTGTTCCGCAAATCAAACGTCAAAAAAACTACGCATTTCATAATACCACTTCAACACAATACATTGGACAGAAAAAAAATACAAAATCCGAACCAAAAAAAAACTATGGGGTTAATGGGTGCAGTTGTCATAAGTTTGGTCTCAATTTTAACAATAGTGTATGCCAATTTCAAGCATGCATACGGATATTGGCGATCGGGAGGGATTTCACACGTTGAGCCCGAATTTCCATTCGGTAATATCAAAGGTTTTGGCAAAACGGCCCATCAATCGCAATTGATCAAAGATATTTACGATAGACACAAATCAAGTGATGCAAAATTTTGTGGCATTTACTATTTTGCTGGGCCCGGTGTCATTTCAATGGATCCCCATTTGATGAAAAGAGTTTTAGTGAAAGATTTTGCGAATTTCAATGAACGAGGGAGATGATCCAATTAGTGCGCACCTCTTTTCAGTGGATGGAGAAAAGTGGAAAAAACTGCGCGCTAAACTCACCCCAACATTTTCGTCGAGCAAAATGAAATTCATGTTTCCGACGGTGGTCGAAATGAGTGAACGATTCAAAGATTGCTTGATTGATGTTGTGAAAAAAAAAATTCTGATCTGGAAATTAGAGATTTGATGGCACGCTTCACCACCGATGTCATTGGCACATGTGCATTTGGCATCGAGTGTAACAGTTTGAACGATCCAAATGCCGAGTTTAGACAGTACGGAAGCGCAGTATTTGGAAAGCCAAGACATCATTCGTTGATTGCCGTTATGTTAAATGGTTTTAGAAATTTACACATCAAAATCATACGCGATGATGTTTCGGAGTTTTTCATGAAAGTGGTTCGTGATACGGTCGAATATAGAGAGAAAAACAATGTGAATCGAAATGATTTTATGGACATTTTAATCAAACTGAAGAACCAAGAGACAAACGATAAAGATAAGATATTAACTTTGAATGAAATCGCAGCTCAAGCATTTGTTTTCTTTTTGGCTGGATTTGAAACATCGTTGACAACGTTATCATATTGTTTGTACGAATTGGCCATAAATCCGGAAGTACAGACAAAGGCCAGGCGAGTGATTCAAGAGGCGTATCAAAAACATGGAACGTTTACATACGAAATGATGTTGGACATGCCATACATCGATCACGTACTTCAAGGTCAGTGGCAATTTGCTAAATGCTGAATCCCGACCGATTCGACGGCGAGGAGGCGAAGCAACGAAATTCCATATTAAGGCTACCATTTGGTGAAGGTCCCAGAAATTGAATTGGACTACGTTTTGGAATGATGCAGGCACGCATTGGTCTCGTCACCCTGTTGAATAGTTTTGAAGTCTTATTTTGCTCAAACACGGATGTTCCTCTGGTTTTCGAAACAAAACCACTTATTCTTACACCAAAGGGTGGCATTCACTTGAACTTCAAAACTGTTAAATGATAAGATTCCATTTCAAATTGGTTTCGGCATATAAAGGTCGTATTAGCTGAAATGCACCTAACACTGTTCTTCATAATTCTATATCGTAAATGTTCATAATTTCACTAAAAATAGTTCAAATTTCCATTAAAAAAAAACTTATGACTAAAAACCTAATAATCGTTAAGATAGTTGAATTCTCTTTATTTAAATAATACACAATGAACGTTGTAGTGTCTAGCCGTGCCATAAACAGAAGAGCTAGTTTTTGATATTTGTTTGAACAAAAAAAAATCATTTAAAATTGAACAGGTTGTCAAGATTGCTTTGTCATTTGATTCATATTATTTTGAAGTAGATTTTTGATTTAATTGAATAAACTTAAGATGATAATATAATTACAAGACTCGGTTCATTCTTTTATAATACAATTTGGAACATGCTATTTAGTTTGATTCTCTTGTTTTTCATGAAATACTTCATACTTGATTGTGATTTTATGAAGAAAAACTGATAAAAACGGGCTTAAAATAATGAATTTATTTATCAGCTTTGGATGATTTCAAGCAAACATATACGCCATTGGCCTGCTGCTTTTCCAGTTCCTGCACAATGAAGTCGCGTAGCTCTTTGTATGCCTTTTCAACATCATCGTTCAACACAATGGTATGGAAATTTCCTTCGGCCTTGCCTGAAATTACCGAAACATACAAAATGAATTTTCGAAAGATTTAAATGATTTTTCTAAATAAATAAATGTTGAATAAAGTCAATTGCATTATTCAAAAGTTGGATTAAATAATGAAAAAATATATAATAATTTCAAACAAAAATTGACTTGAATTTAAAAGTGACCCAAATACTTGAAAAACCCCACGTGAATGTATTTTTTTTCTTTCCAATCGCTAAATTGAAACAAAAAAAATGAATTTTGCTGTCAGTTTTAAGACACTTTCATCACTCGTGCCAACCTGTCTGGCAGTCCCTTGCGTTGTTTTCAAGTCAAAAATTCACAAAAAATCACTGAAGTCAAAAAAGTCATTCATAAGTCAGGAGGCGAACACAACATCCGTTTTTGGTTTACAGGTGATTTTGTGATTTTGATGATTTTTCGTGACTTTTTGACTGATTTTTTTGGCGTGACTTCGTCGATATTTTGATTGGATTGTTTTATTTGATTTGAAAACAACGCAAAGAACTGCCAGATTGCGCTGTGGACGTCTTGCAAATGGTCGAATAGGAGGCGAACCTGAAAGCGGTTTTTGGTTTACAAGAAAGTCGGTCAGAAAATCGGAGAAATCAAAAGTAGGAAGTCAGTCAAAAAATCGACGAGGTCAAATCAAATAAGTCAGTCAAAAAATCGACGAAGTCACGCCAAAAAATCAATCAAAAAGTCACGAAAAATCATCGAAATCCCAAAATCACCTGTAAACCAAAAACGGATGTTGTGTTCGCCTCCTGTCTTATGAATGACTTTTTTTACTTCAGTGATTTTTTGTGACTTTTTGGCTCTGACAACAATAAATATCTTTTTATTTGCTTATGAGCAAAGTTCTTACCATATTCGATCTCCCGATGAGCAGTGTCCAAACGCTTCTGCAAACTTTCTGGTGTTTCAGTTTTACGGTCAAGAAGTCGACGTTTCAGTTCATCAATGGACGGTGGCATAACAAATGCCAGTAATGGATCCAAATCCGAGTTGCGGATTTGCTTAACACCTTCGATTTCGATATCAAGGACACATACTTTGCCAGCATCTTGGACATTTCGTACGGCTTGTTTGCTGAAACAATAAAAACAAAGCAATTGTAATTGAATAACGATAGTTAACGGAAAATTTATTTCGAATAGTCTGAAAATTGAAAATTCCACTTGAATTTTTTAAAAATTGTTTTTAAGTGGATAATAATCCTTTTTGATTCGAAAAAACTGAGAAAAATTATGAGAAAAAAATCGATGAAAAAATTGGAGGAAATAATTTTAAAAAAAATTTTGAGCCAAAAAAAAATCCGAAATTAGCATACCTTGTTCCATACATATTGCCACTAAATTCGGCTGATTCCAAAAATTCCCCCTTTTCGATGGCCGCTTTCATCGCACCACGTTCAACAAAATGATAGTGCACTCCGTTCTCTTCTCCAGGACGTGGCTTTCGTGTTGTGTGCGACACACTGCAACGAGAATTTTAGGAATTACACTTTAGATCGGATATTTATGGATGGAAACAAAAAATCAGTATTCATTTAATTGGGCAATTTGAGTTTCCAAATACTTTTTCGTCAAAAAATTAATCGACTTCGAGTTGATCGGCTTGAATCATATCAAATTTAGAAAAAAAATTACAAATGTTCATATTCAACCAATAAAACTGACCTGAATCCAAATGTCTCTGGATACTCGGCAAACAAGCGCTTCAATAGCGTACTTTTCCCGGAACCTGAGGTGGAAACAATTCAATTTGTATAAATAAATGTGCAAAAATTCGGGCAATGGTGAAAAAGAACGAAAAAAGATGAGAAAAAATGAAGAAAAAAACAATTTTTTCAAGTCGCCTCATAAACTCACCTGAAGGGCCACAGAGAACCAATGGACGCGGACCTCTTCGCACCATCTTTGAGTAAGCTATAAAAGTGAATAACGAATGTGAAAATATTTTGACCAAAAATGTTTTGCTTAATGAACAGGTACTGAAGAAGCATTCCGAATAGAAAGCACGTATTTTACATGCATAAAGAAAAGATGGGTTCAATAGACATGTAATAAATAGCAATTTAATTGGCATGCAATTAATAATCCAAGCAAATAGAAATGTTCAACAATTATTACAGATAAGAGATAATATCGATGTTAATCGAATGTTTGCGTGCGCGATTAACGCCAACAACAAAGCGTTAGTTCGTCCATAAATAATGAAATGTCCTTACCCTGGGTCAAAAACACCATTAAAGTGAGCATTGTGAGTATCGTTTAGTGTGCCGTCGGGGATAGAAGCTGTTACGTTTACGGTGGATTTTTTTTTGTGAAATAACTAACACACACAGCTGTGTTAGTAATTCGAACAAAATTGGCTCTCAATGTTGACTCAACCGCTGCGAATGAAATGCTTTTTGTATGGATTGTGATGAATGTGAATGTTATAAAAATGTGATTTTTGTTAGTAATTTTTAATTGTGAGTTTTTCTAAGTATTTTTTCAAAAAATAAAACAAAAATGTTCTTCAGTGGTGTACAAATTCGGAAGTAATTCAACAACACGGCCAATGGATAAAACAACAAACAATTGATGACTGTGGTATACGGGTATGAATGAAACACGAGCATAAGTCATGTCAATGCCCGGTTCGCAGCAAAGAATTTCTCGTCACATAACAAACAGATGTGCACACTTTAGCACACAACCACAACTCTCTTTTTTTTCAGTTCATGTGTTTTCTTCGACAAAATATTTATTTAGTCTACTTTGGTTCAGTTTTAGAATGAGAAAAAAGCGAGTTGAAATAGGAATAGAAATAAGATAGATTCAATCGAGTTAAAAGGAGAGTTAGAATCAAATTCAATCGAAAATGTATTTGACTTGTGTTTCTGCATAAATAGAATTAAGAAGATGGATAAAACCCCTGTGCAGAATATTTGGCGATATCAATGCTTGGGAATGGAATTTTGTATACAAATTGATTTGGAACTCGTTTTTATCTTAACAATTTTTTTCTTGAGTTCCATTCAATGAGCGGATAATGAACCAATTTCCATTTAAAAATGACCGGATTTCCAAATAAAATCCCACTAACTTGTTCATTGTATTAAAAAATCAAATTGATAAATACTTTGCTAGCACCAAATCCATTCACAACCACTGTATCAAAATATTGCCAAAATATCTGCACACTTCGATGTTTGAGTCATACAAACCGAAAAAAAAATTCACTAACCACACGATGATTTCAAATTAAGCACGGAGAATTCGACTAAATTCGATGGTAATAATGCGGGTTTTGATGTGATTAATCGAATTGATCGAATTGCAAACCACATTTAATTCAGAAATAGTTGGATACAATCTTCTTGTCGGAGAAAAAATACACAATGTGGGACTGAGTCCGGTGTTTGAGTGTGGAAAAATGTGACAGATGACAGCTGATACACATACGAATGAATGTCAAAGGTAGAAAATGTGCACACACATACAAGCGCATGCATGTGTTGTGCGCAATGCGGATTCAAAGATGCTTGAGAGGAAAATAAATCTTTTGTGAAGTGAATTTACAGGGGAGAAAGGTCACATTGATATGGAGGAAAAAAACACTCGTTTTAAAAGAATGGAATGTCCTTCAAATTCGTATATAATTTTCTTATGAAAAAAAAAATACACACATTTTGGCTCGAAAGTATGTGAAATTGGACCAATTTTCAATAGATGGCGCTGATGATTGTAAGGTGGCCGGGAATTCTATCGTTTTGAGTGTATTTAAGTGTTTTAATCAACGAAATAAACATAAACAAGCGCATATGATTGAAAGCCGATGCCAAAGTGACATGAATGCACAATATGAATCCATTTTAATGTTATTAATGAATCAGTCTAGTTAGTTTTAAAGTCATGCATTCATCAAAATGAAACAAAGTAATAGAAGTATCTTCATTAAATGTTAATATTTATGGCTCAGTTGGCATTTAGTTACTGATGAAAATAAATGAACGCTTTGAATAACTTCATTTTTGGACTGAACTAGGACTGAACTAAAATCTTTATCTTGACTTTCATGAAAAAGTAAATAATTCACAACTATATCTCGCACTATGAGTGCCCGCTCATCAATTGGTTCGATATAATGTTTCGAGTCCGTTTATCACAATCGTCGCTTTGAAATGCTCAATGTGTTGATTCAACAGTGTTGAACTCACAGTTTGTTTATGAGCAATATCACCCAACACTAGAGCGAACTCAGCGCAAAATCCATTTGTTATGGTTATACGGATAAATAATCATTTATACGACTCTAACATAAACGTTTTCTTCTTGTGCACGAACGCCCGAATTCTGGGAAACAATTTCAAATCACATCATCAACGCTGATGTAATTTCGAGCCTTTTTAAATCAGAGTACTTGGTTTATTCTTCAATCTTTATTTGTTTCAGCGGGCATTTTTTTCAGTCGTCACACAATTTTTCGTTTACGCCACATCATTGCGATGCATTTGGTGTTATGAAAAATGCTCGCATGTTGTGAAATTCGATTCGGTGGATATTTCAGTTTCTCCTTTCGGTTTCTCTTTCTCACTAGTACAATGCACAACCGGTCCATACGAATGTAAATGAATGTAGACGCAAACGGATTTGTTTGCGCGAGACGACCAATTGATGTGCGAGTGCAAGTGGAATAGATATAGTGGTGTCATTCTCAAATGCTGTTGAACAAATGTGCAAATAAGCAAATTGTCGGCTCAGTCCGTACTGCGTTCTTATACGAAATAGTCGCACTTATCAAAGCAAACAGAACTTTAGAGAAAAACGAGTGATTTTGCTGTTATTTTCATAAAAATTTTCACGTATTTGTGGCCGTTTTTTATTATTCGGTAAGGAAAAAAGAACAATTTACCCATGTTTTACGGTATTTTTGTAAATCAAAAATAAGAAATTTTTTGTAATCAATGCAAACAGCAACCAATTCTTCTTGTGCAAACGTTTGTGTGTTCTCGTTAGCGATGCCTTAGATTTGTAGTTGAATTTGTGTGCAACACACACCAAACAAATGCTTGCTATGATCGGATCGAGTCAGAGTGTTACATATTTGTTTTTGCAATAGAACCGGTTGATACACTTTAGCAATATTTTTTTTAAACTTTCATTTTATTTGATGTGTCAAACACATATGTGATTTTTTTTTAATCCCTTATCCAAGTGCTCCGGCCAATCAAATAAATGTACCGCGCAAAATATTCAAGACCAATTATCCGATGTTATGCAAAAGTAGCTAAAGAAATTAATATGTCATATGTTCATCTGTCGCAATAGTTTTTGGAATAACTTAAACGATGGGCACGTATTTTAATGCGCATTTTTAATGTTAATGTTTGTTTAATAGCACTATCCATTGTTTTGTGTGTTTTTATAATAACTGACTAGTTTCTCATTAAATTCGGCGTTCATTTGCCGGTCAATTTAATTCCGTTTGTTTTTCGGATATTTCTTCACATTTCATACGGAATATATTTGCTGTTTTTAATGCTATGGTTTTAATAAATTCCATAGAGGATTTACATGTGCTATCCTAGTAAACTCCGATTACTTATGAAATTCAGGAAGTAAGCCCGGCCGAAGTTTTTTGTACTCATAAATAAGTTGATGATTTTGTGAAGAAAGTGTTTTATATCGACTGACAGCTCATTTGTCAGTACAATGTTTAGTGTGAACCGTTCAAAAGGTTGACTGAAATCGCTATTGTTATAAATCGTGTTAGTCGTTCAATTTGGTACTTTTTGTATTTAAAACGAAAATTCAATCAACTTCAATTTACTACTTTTTTCACACTCGGGACGGCATTAAATATTCAGAATACGCTTACATATTCATTGCGATGGAACAACGTCAACACATTTTTTTTAAATTTCTTCAAACTTTTTTGTGTGGTTTCATCTTACCCTCTTCCATACGCCCTTTTTAACTGTTGTTTTTGCCGATAATCATCGGTCCGATGTTCGTGCTGTTTCAATGCTTTCTCGCTGCGACGCCAGCATATCCAATGGAAAATTTCTAATATATTCTAATCTCATTAAATTTTCATTATAGTTTTATTGTTTTTCGAGAATTTCGAACGGTCGGTGTGAATTTTGTACATCTTATTGAGTCTGGATTTGTTCCAACCTCATCAGTATTTTATACGTATTGTAAGTATTTCAAAGCATTGATAACATTTGTCACTTTCTTATTCATTTGTCCATTTTTCCATTTCAAAATTGGGTTATTTTTACTCTGCTTATCAATTGCCGCTTATTTTTCTAGGTCCTTTGAAGAGTAATTAACCAAAGATCAATCACTTTATTACGAAAAGCGGGTTTTAAACCACATTTTCTAATGTAAGTGGCCTTTCCTTTTTTCTTTACAAGAATTCAATTCAAAATTTGAGTTTGAAATTTTCTTTTTTGCTCTTAAAATTTGAAGATAAAACTACTTCAGCATAAATGTGATTTATTTCACACAGCAATATTTCGATTCACACGAATCGATTATTTTGCGAGCTTAAGCAAAATTTCCAATCAAATTTTCAGATTTTTGCATTCGTGTTTGTTTAATTGATTTAATTTCATAGCCAAAGTATCAACCATGAATAAGGAGCCGGATTTCACATACCAAGAGAGGCATGAAGTCCTCATGAATCATGTGATCCTGCCACGGTATTTACCGCAAGAGAGGTCGAAGAATTTCCACAATGAAGAGCTGGCTTTGCTATCGAATATGGTGGAAAATGTTGAACGTTTAGCCAAATCATTGCCACGCAACACGGTCAACATGTTTCATGGACTAGCCCGAGTGCACAAAACACTTACACCGTCGGTTGTGTCTACCGAAATTCGCAATCTTAAACCGGGCGATACGTTTGCAATGTTCGTCCGCCGTCAAAACTGCGCAATGATGATCCATATGCCGCCAGAAAGAGGTGACGATCGTGTGATTGCAGCCATATTTCCTGGTAATTTGCACCCAAAACACATTTCCGCCGCAGAAAGTGATATCGAGGTAAGAGTGAAAATGAGAGTGAGATTAAAATAGAATAAGTTTACATTCAATACTTAAAATTCAAACGTGTCACTTTTTCTCACAGTTCCATTACCCGGTGCAAGCATTAAAAGTGCCATACTCTAATATGATGCGTTCAGAAGATTTTGCCGATCAACTATGTTTCCTGTTCCAAGAACTGCCGATACAAAAGAATGAAACTCCAAATCGGAACTACGTATCACAATGGTTAATAACATTGCTCGCCGATGCGGACAGCGAAACAGTGGAAGAGGATGCATTCCCTGTGATTACGAAGAAGATACGAGACGAGGTATTGGGCGAAGATAAAAGCAATTTCTTTCGTCGATCAAGCTTTTACATGTGCCTAAAGGTGTTTTTGCAGCACAGTCTCACGGTTGAACTGGGGCCAGAGCCAGCAAAGCTACTGTACAAGATCGTAATGATGCAGTTTATCACCCAAATGGTGGATTTTTTCAACAAGCCTGACTGTACAACATTGAATACGGATCTCATGTCACAAGCACTGGCCAAATTGGCACAACGAATCGAAAAACTCAATCATTTGATGGGCCAGTCGAATTGTGATCAATTCAATGAACTATCCGAGCGTGTTGTGTTCCAAGCAAAAGAAACCATTGATAAAATACGACAAAAAATTGATGACCAAATTCATAAGCTACAAAAGGGTGATGAAGACAAAGCACAGCTCACACAATTGATTGACCTGGATTTTGAAGCTGATATTCGTCAGAAAATTCCACAATTAAGCTTACACTTGGAGAGTCGGCTTTGTGAAAAAATACCGAATCGATTCGGGTCTGGACTTCAAATAAAGCCTATCAATCGGCATTACTTAGACCAAACCAATGCACCCAATGTAACATCCTTCGGTATGGTGAACAATGAAATTGAAAGCAGTTTAATTTGGAGTGATTTCGAGAATTGGGTGCTGTACACATTGAATTCCGAAGAAAACCGATTCAATCCGGATGATATTCGCAATTGGTCATCATGCTATGCAAAATTTGCTGAGGAATTCTACAAAAACGATCAACTGGGTACGAGCAAAATGGTTTTAGTTCGCCTAAAACTGATTGCTGTTCTTGATCTGAATGCATGCAATGCACATCCGCTACTTGTAAAACATCGCAGCGGTATTGAACCGAAAATAATCGATTCGTTGTTGATTCCACAAAAACAAGACATGGAAATTGCATACGAACTTGGTCGATACTTTGGTGAACGAAATTCCAAGGCAACTGATCCGGGACTCATCGAAGAAACTTCAATCACCGTCAAGTCATTCTCTGCCATATTCGCCGCTCAAAACGAGAGAATGCAACAAGTTCTGGAGGAAATCATGGAAGTCGAGAAAAAAGGAATCGAGGCCAAGCAACAGGAATGGGAAAGGGGCCGAGAACGAGTTGCTAAGCTTCGGAGAGACATCCCAGCGGTGTGCAGCTACTATACCAATTATTATGGTAACACTCACCATGATAAATACTGTGCAAGGTACGTGTGAATATAATAAAGTTCTATTTTGACATGTGATCACAATTCGAGAATTTTTTCCACTAGATGCCGAATAACCCAGGAAATCCAAAATGTCAAAATCCAGCAGTATGAACGTCCATTGCCGAAGCATTCGTATGAAAAGCATGCCGTGGTCTTTGAACTGAAATCACCCATTGAAATTGCATGTTTGAGAGATGTCCTCATTGGATTCGCCAAATTCTGTGGCGGTCAAAGTGATAAACGCATGGATATCAAAGGAAATTGGATTAACTACCATCAAATCAGCCATATGAATGCATCGAAAAGCAAGCAAAATCATCTTGGCAGTACAGCAAAGCCCAACCTCCATTTATATCACGTTGACTCTGCATTCGATTCATTCGTTGTTGAAAATGCCTACAATTGTGTATTCAATGCGAATGAACAAGAATTGCCACCATCCATTTCTGATGGACACATCAAGAAGATTTGCACTCTTAAAATAGACGAAGATGAATACAGTGGCTTACAATGGACATTGAACGGAACAAAGCATTTTCAAAATGAGGTGATTGCACGGCAAAAGGAGTGCCCACAACTTTTGTCATTGTCAGAATTCAAAAATTTCGGATCACTTCGTGCCGATGGTCATCGGTTGCAACTGCGTAAAATGTACGCAATGATCGAGAGCGAGGCATTGTCATGTGAAAAATCGTCTGTATTGTCTTTGATCATTCAAACCCTCTGGGAAACTGGCGTTAGTGGTGACGGTGGCTCGATCCGAGAGTCACACACCGATTTTGATGATTCACAATTTGCTGCCGCTATGATCGAAATGCTGAGAAAATTCTGCGAACAACAGAAAAACAACTGGGTAAGGGACCATTCTAAGCTGAAATTCACCTTCAAGTTCAAAGTTAACAACTCAATTGTATTCAGTTTAGATGAGATTCAATATTATTGACTCAATAACTCAAAATAGTTTTCATTTCATTTGCATCAAATTTTTATTACGTTTAATTTTCTCTCTTATCACTTCCCCCAGGTCCATCCCATGAAGCTATTGATGGCCGCATTCATTGCAGTGCGAGTATTCGAAATAAACAGCGACGGAAGTTTGGTTGACCAAATCGTTGGGCTTCTAAAAGACATTCGTGCTATTGCTCTGGACTGGATTGATAAAATCGAAGAAGCCATCAACGACATAAAGAATCCAAACTTGTCCAGCGAGCAAGAGCTACGCATAAAATTGGTGTTCGTTGCAATAGCTGGAGCCGTCACATTTTTCGTGCATTTCAAACACAAATATTTCGAAAGAATTTTCGTGGATAATCAACGTGTGCTGTCCAAAAAGGAAGAACGATTCTCAGCGCCTCGAGTTTGGCTTCAGTTTGTCGTTACTTTAAGCAACAATGTGCTGTTGAACGCAAAACAAGGCCAATTTTCGTCAAATCTGCGAATGTTCCTGCGTCTTGTTCGCAACACAGGCATTCATATCGAATCAACTATTCGGCCAATGATCGATCAGAATCCAAGTGATGTTTTTGCTTTGGTCAAGCAACAATGGACCCGGTCTGCATCCGGAACATTTGACCAAACTTATTTCCATCCAAAATGCCCACAAATTTATGTGACTCATGTCAGCATCAAAAATATTAAAAATTATGTTACAATCGATTTGGTAACTGGCAGTTTTCTCGTCAACAACTTGCCAGTGGCTCGTTTGCCAAATAACATCACTCAGAGCGTATTATTTCAACGAGTGTTTGGCGACTTCATTTTTGAAGTACAACCCGACTCACAAAATAGCTTCTCGGCCGTTCACAAATACAATGAATGCAGCTACGAATTTCGTCGAGTGGGCAGCGGAACGGTGATCATTGAGCAACAAAACGGCGTTGAGCGTGAACTGATTCCTCATTCAATTTTAGACGATGAAATTCCACATCATCTTATCGACAGTTACAGCCACTTCTGGAATAAAACCGATAATGTCATTGAATTCCGGCCAAAACTGTTCAGCGACGCAAATTTCTCGAAGGAAGACGGCATTGAGTATCGACTGGATTTGCAAGAAAAACGATTGATTCACATAAAAACCCAACGATATATGCTTGATATCAACAGCAACAGCTATTTGAAGATTGTGGACCAATTGTCACGACTCGAGTCTCCGAAGTATATTCACGTGTTGATGGACAAGGATAATTCACAAATTGCGAAAGCGGAATTGATTCGAATGCATCTCAAATTCGTGGTTGATTGCTCAACGTCGCACGAAACATACGACTTGATCTCGAATGAATACAGTCGAATGCGTGTGAGTCTTGCACAGAAATGTGGCACTTTGTATGGACTACAACATGGTTTGTTGCTGGAAAGTGTTCCATGCGAAAATTCATTTGAAAAAGTCAGCACAAGAAAAACATTGACCAAATTGCTGCTCATTCCACACGGAAATATTCGAATAGAGCGTTCACAGTCGCATGTCTCCGTCGAAATCAACATTGAGTCGGATTTGTACAATCCTCCGTTCCACGTGTATCAAGTTGATGACTTCTGTCGTCAGCTAAAAGCCAGTAGCAGTAGCTATTCAGCATGGTTTTACTTGGCCTACTTACACGCAGTGACATCACACGGCCAAGTGGAGCCATTCATTAAAATGTCGGGCACTGAACGCGCACTGCAAATATTACAATCAGGTTTCACATGGTCTTCGGCTCCGTACGACGCAGAGTCCACAAAAATGCTACAGTTAATCGCACAGTTATCGCCAGAACGAAAGACAGAAGAGTCATGTCAACAAGTGACTTGGCCAAATTTCATTCCACCCCATTCAGCGCAAGACACATTTGTTTTCATTGCTCAGCAACTTTTCGAAGATAGCCAACGATTGCATGGGTTACATTTTGAAACTCAAAAATTTCAACTGAAAATTGAAACACAATTGAGCCAGAACAAACGACAATATCTTCGATGCTTGTCATTGATGCCCAACCTCAAAGTGTCCGACACATTTTTGCATTACGAAACACCAAAAACCTCATCGATTAACATGTCACAATTTAGTATATGTTCACAAACACAAACCGTTTCAAATCTTTATCATCGCCGTGCATACAAGGTACCCACTGACCTGGATTTGCCGCAATTTCTCATGGAGAATAAAACACTGGATGGTACAGCGAACATGGAAAGTGTGAAAAATTTGCTGAAGCATAAAACATATGAGAAGTTTGTGGATTTATGGATCCCCTTGTACGAGTATGCACGCCATGGAAAACTGAATGACGAACAGTTTGCATTGATTTGGAGTGTTTTAACGCATGAAGAGCAATCATTTTCACCAATTTTGGCATTACAAGCAATTTCAAAGCAAGCGCACGTATTTAAATCGATTGATCCACCGAAAGTTGGACAATTCATTCTCCGCGAAGGTAATTACAGTGCAAGTAAAGCATCAAGCATTTTAGAACGTTATCGCTCACTGCCAGCAGGTTATTATAGTGATGAATTTGATCGTGATAGATACAATGCACGCATGAAACGAGAAATCGATAACCTGACCGATATCGTCACATCCAAGTGGCCTTGTGATGACATCGATTTACAGCCTCATTGCAATGAGGCTGATATCAATATTCGATCCGCAAGCACTGCCCTCAGTCAAAATTTGAAGATTTGGAATAATAATCGCAAGCTTGGTATTTTTGTTGATAACGTTCAACAGACATTGATTTCTTTGAATGGTTCAATAAGCATTCAGTTGCCATTCTTCCAGGCGCTCACTGTTCCGAAAACAATCAATTGGGAAAAGTATGCGATTAACTTCAAACAGAAAATGTGTGAGCGCATCGGTGATTTTCCAAATGAAATTAAAGAAGCAAAACAGATTTGGTTTGGAACCAAACAACCCAACAAATCATCAGACGAATGGTGGTCGATTTACAAGAAAATTGTGAATGGTCTGAATTCGCAACATTTGATCAAAGCTGGAATGTATCCGCGAGCAGTGCCGAGCTTGGTTGTACCGCAAATCACATCGAAGGGAAATAGTGACTTGAAAGCCATCGTTGGTGCCTTGGCTATAACAATAGCACATGAACAACGTGAAAAACGCATCGAAATCTACTCGCAGCAAGAGCAACTCAAAGTGGCACTGGAAAAGGAAATCGAGAACAAGCCCCATGAGAACTGGAAGCCATGCGATTACCCAGCATGGTTGTTGTTTGAAATCGAACAAAATCTCACGATCCGTCGAGTTCAAGTCGATGTGGCAAACCATATGATGAACCCATCGCAAAACGAAGGCGCGGATGACAAGAAGAAACACTCGGTGATGCAGTTGAACATGGGTGAAGGAAAGACGGCAGTAATTGCGCCGATTATAGCAGCGGTATTAGCCAATGGCAAACAGGCATGTCAAATTACCGTATTGAAATCACTCTTCGCAACCAATCTGAAGTCATATCGCCGATACTTGGGCGGAATGCTGAACAGACGAATGTATGTGTTTCCATGCCGTCGAGACATGCCAATCGCAAACTTTGTCGATCAAATGATGAGCATCTATGAGGAATGCAAGCAGATGAAAGGTAATGACTTTAATTCATGGTTATTCATACTTGATTTTAAAACCTCATTTGTTTAATTATTTTCTTCTAGGCGTCATTCTCACCACACCCGAATGGAGACTGTCATTCCAGTTGAAAACATACGAATCGATACAAAAGTCGGAGTATGGAAGCGCCGAACACTTTTTGGATGTTCTTAAGTGGACCAATATGAACGTTCGAAGCATTCTGGATGAGTCTGACGCGATTCTACAAGCAAAGTATCAGCTTATTTATACTTTAGGCAATCAATTGCCACTGGATGGAGGTGCACATCGATGGATGGTTATTCAGGCTGTCTTAAAACGAGTTCCGCATCACATGAAGAAGCTGAACGCAGAGCTTGGCTCAGAAAAGGTCGAATTCGACGAGAAATACATCGAAAAAGGTCATGTGTTTGGAGCACCAGCAGTCGACTATCGTTCCGATGTGTTCACACCATGTCGAATTTTGGATGAAACAGTTTTTGATGTATTGAAATCGTATCTAATCGAGGACTTTCTGAATGGTAACATCAAAATTTCATTCACTGAAATGCCACCGTCGGCCAAAGAAGGTTTGCGACAATTGCTGAGCGAGAAAAACATCAACAAAGAAAAGTTCGAGGAGATTTTGAAAGATTTTTCATTGAGCGAACGCAATATCATCATGGTTATGTGCGGATTACTTCGATTCGAAGTCTTGAAATTGATTTTGAAGCGACGCTGGCGCGTGAATTATGGCGTTAACGAAAAGGGTATTCGAAAAATGGCAATACCTTTCAAAGCCAAAGATGTTGCAGCAGATATGACCGAATTCGGGCATGCAGATGTGGCATTGTGCTTCACACACATGAGCTACTATTATTCAGGTATATTTCGGTAGAAAATGTCCAATTCAAAAATATTTCTTCTAATATCAATTACATAATTCATATTCCAGGTCTCAGTGATGATCAATTGAAGCATACGTTCAATCTCTTGTCAGTGTCTCAAGATGCCAATGGAATTTATCAAAAATGGGCTGATAGTGTATCGCCCAAACTAATCGATGTATCGATTCGAACATATACTGGCGTCAATTTGAGTGACCCACAGCAACGTGAAGAAAAGCTATTCCCAGTTTATCGCTTCAATATGCATGTCATTGATTATTTCCTATCGAAAGTTGTTTTTCCCCGCGAAGCAAAGACTTTTGAGAAGAAGCTAATGTGCACGGCTTGGGATTTATGCAGCGATCACATGAATCATCCAGTTACTGGTTTCAGTGGAACCAACGATACCAAAAACATTCTGCCGCTGCCAATCGCACAGAATGATCTTCCTGAACTCGAAAGCACAAACGAAGACGTTCGCCAAACCCTGTTGCGAACTGAGAATCAAGACTACGAAGGCTTACCAGAGAATGTCAGTGGAACGGAAATAATCGAGCGATTGGTTGAGCGTGAGATTCCGGTGCTATTGGATTCAGGTGCATTGATGTTGGAACTGAATAATTTGGAAGTGGCCAAGAAGTGGTTGGAATTGGCTCCAAATAATTCCTTCGATGCTGCGATTTACTTGGATTCCCGTGACATTCTTCAAACCATCGATCGAAATGGTGTCATAACCGACTTCGATTGTTCAGTGTACCGTGAAAATTTGGGCCGATGTTTGGTGTACTTGGATGATGTGCACACACGAGGAACTGACTTAAAATTCCCACCAAACTGGAGAGCATGCGTCACTTTGTCTGGCGATATCACGCGTGACAAAACAGTGCAAGCATGCATGCGAATGAGACAATTGGGCAAGGATGGAGGCCATTCAATTGCATTCTGGGCATCATTTGAGGCTGATGTGAAAATACGAAAATTCTGTGAATTTGCTTTACCTCACAATTGCCTTCCAAATGATCATGTCATTGAATTCATCTGTAAAAACAGTGAAAACTTCGAAACGGAAAATACCGTTCATTGGGCAGCAGGTGCATACAACTACACCCAGAAGCTGGTTGGCCATAAATTGCATGAACATTTAAGTGATGAAGTATCGTTGACGAGCCTTTTGAGCACTTGCGTCGATAATGAATATGTGAAATTGGAGGAAATATACGGTGACAAGGAGGACGCACGATTGGTTGATATTGCCAAGGGAAAATTCGATAAATTGATTGAGAGTTTTAGACCAGCATTGAAGAATGAAGAAACGAGAAATAAAGTAATTCCATTCATAGAAACAATTCAAGAAGCGGTCCGTGGTAAAATCATGAAGCATGCACCGAATGTCAAGCGATTTGTGCAAGCTTTGGATGAGGAACAGGAAAAAGAATTAGAGCATGAACTAGAAGAACAGCGTCATGTCGAGAGACCGGCTGCAATGAATCCGGCCAAACCTGAATTCGATGAGCAGCTCAAGAAATTGGTATTATCGGGCGTCGATATCGTGACAATCGCAGATTTGATGATAAGAGGAACACTGGTCTCCCTTGCCAATGGGCTCGATAAAACCCAATTGATTCAAGAATACGTCAGCGATTCAGATGCATGGTCCAATAATCTGTTGGTTACAAAGGATTTCGTTCAAGTTTTGTCAAACTTGTCATACGCTCGAGATGAATATCTACGCCCAGTTTGGTGGATTGCACGCGTTAACACACCAGGAAGTGATGACTACATTCTGGTTCTGTTGAGCTCTTTCGAGTGCGATCGATTAATTTCAACGTTCAGAGAAAGCCAACAATCCGTTTTATGCATGTACAGATCGCGACTCAGCAAATTGCACGACAATTTACTACATCAAACCAATTTGCAAGTCACAGGCATGACTGAGCAGATTCCACCAATCAATGTTTGTGATGAAGTTCAAATTGGCATTTTCTCCGGCTCGATGTACTTCAACAATGAAGCAGAACAGAACGCTTACTGCAGCTTCTTAGGCGTCATCCCACGTCCACGGACTGAAGAACAAGAAGAAGCATTCAACAAAGGTGTAATAAAACCAAATGGATATGTCACAGCAGAGAATCGATCACATTCAAAAGCCATATCCGAAGCGGTGACCGCATGCAAATTCAATAAAAATCCCGTCGATTTGGCCATCAAATTGACCGAAGCACATCATCATTTGATACGCAAAGAGTCGCATGTCGCATCGATCTTGGAGCGTGGATTCAAAATGCCGATCACCGAAAATTCAACCGATTAGAGTCAACTGAGTGATTAGATTTGAAATCATTGATCCTTTGAACATTTGTTCCATTTTACAAATTTTCTAAGAACATTTTTCATATTTTTCCACACATTTTACCGATTAGTTTCTTCTAATTAAACATATACCTACAAAAATCTACAAAAATGATAATATTTTATAAGTTTTTCATGTATGCCAAGTGCAGAAATTAAAAGTGAACGAATTCTTATGAATATTTTTGATACAAAATAAATAAATTGTTTGAAAAACAATATTTCTGTCCAATTTCAATCGAATAAAAATTCATTGCAAAAGGGGCAATTTAGCTTGATTATTGGAAACTTTTGTGTCTGTTTTCGGTGAGACATTTTTTTTTTTTTCATTACACGGCATTGATGATTGTAACATGAAAAATTATCGATTTATATTTAAATTTTTCAACCAATGTAAACAATCTCACATAATTTAGATCCAACTGAAAACGAAGAAAAATAAAAATTGAATATACATTAGCAGAAACCGAGTGGAGGTCGATCAAATAATGAGTTTTGGGGAAAAATTGTTCTAAACAACTGTAGTATGAATATTGAGATTCTTGTTGTTCAAAATTGAATAGACGAAAGTCCTAACATGTAAAAAGTAAAATGAGAGCAAGATGTTCAATATCTTATTGGTTTCATTAAATTGATTCTAAAGCAAAACTCTCTTATATCTCCGAAAATTCATTCTCTTGAAGGTCTTGGTAAGTATATCAAAGGTAAATTTTTCAAGCAAATTTCAATGTCTTTAATATTTCACAACTTCAACAATTTTGCCATCATATCTGCGCAATTTGACTTGTTCATTTCGCGAAGAGAAAAAAAAATGTATCAACTTTGATTTGAATTTTGGTTGTAGCAGCTTGTTATAAAACAATGCATAAATCAGTTAAGAATCCCACAAAGTAGATATTTCGGAGCTGTCTTATTCTTTTAATTAAATGGCATTACCAACTTTTCCAAGTGGAAAATCGTAATTCAATCGCACTGACCTAACATACATTTTTTTTTTTTGGAGAAAATCACTTCAGATAGAAAAATGCTTACAAAAACAGAGATCATCGTTATTATTCAAAAACTCAACGAAACTAACGACGAACTGAAATAAACGTCAAATTCACTTGACATTTGGCTTGACAGCAAAATCGCTTTCCTGTTTGTAGAATGCTTGAGTACAGTCGCTCTCTCTCTCTGTGCTGAACCATTTGTGCGTGAAGACGTGTTGCTCTTTAGCTTCTGAAGAAATTGAAAATCTCATTTTCTATTCATGAAATATCGCAGTGAAATCCAAGTATTCTGTTCATCTCGCATAAGTATTCGAAAACAAAATTCATCGATTTCATCAAGGTAAGTGTGATTCTTTGATTTAATCCAATTTCCACAATAAAATTAAAAATTCAAATTTGCAATATTTAATCGACACTCGGGACTACTTCATTTGATCACGCTTCAGTCATAACCTCACTACAAAATGTGCGTCGTTTGATTAATTTTCAAACAATACTCCATTTAGGATAACAAAAGACGTTTTGAAATGTAGAATCCAGTTAGTGTTATTTCGGTCCTTCGGCCATGAAAAAAAATTCGACAAAAATCTCTCTCTCTTTTGCGTACATTCAAATCTACAGTTCAGTGCGAATATCAATTAGTGAACAAAAAACGCTTTATTTGTGTTGACACACACAATCTGTATGAGACACATTGTCTAATGAAAAGTCTTTTTCGTTGTCTAATGAAAAGCTTTACATAACTAAGACGTACGTTTTATTTATATTGCAGCCGGATAATCCGTAATCGTTCATACATTATCACAGGTTTGCGACTGTGAACCAAATTTTCAAACTTGATTCTAAACGTGAGTACAAAAAGGGTTTGTTTCTATTAATTCAGAAGAGGATTATGAAGAGGATCCTTAATTACTCTTTTTTATGTTTTTTTTTCTGAAACCAGATAGAACATCGCATTTCGTACCACATTCATACGCATACATCGCTAAGTTGAAGCCAAGTCAACACAATGAGCCAACAAAACGCCAAAGATCAAAACCAAATGGAAGTCGTCAAACTAGAACCAAACCAAAATCAAGTGGCTGTGGTCGGTGCAATCACATCAAATGGCGAACCTCAACCGGAGGTCTTTAAATTGGACACAGATTGCTGGGATGATGTGTTTGACTGTCTGTCGCTGAAAGACGTGCATTCGTTTGGCCAAACGTGCAAGGCATTCCAACGTGTCACCGGTGCGTATTTCCAGTGGAAATATGAGGCTGTTTCTGTTCGCTGTTTTGGAAATGAAGCTTATATTGGTAACGATCGTGTCAATGGATTCATCAATTTTGTCCAGAAAATTCGATTAGATCGCACACTCCCCGAATCAAATTTCGAGTCAGTCAAACAAGTTAAATTAATCTGCGTTGACTTGCATCAATTGGAAATAAATTCCATGAAGGTTTTGAGCAAAGTGGAACACCTTGAGTTATGGGATCGCAAACTCGATGGAAATATTCTTGGAGCACTTATTGAATCCTGCGTAAATTTAAAACGACTAGAATTTTGGGCCATAACTTCGTTTAATTGGTCACTTCAAAGTCACCCGACACTTCAACACTTGGCATTGAATGGGCATATCACATTTCGGAACGACCAATTGAAGGATTTCCTTGGGAACAACCCAAATATTCGAAGCCTTCAAATCACTGCGGAACTTCTTTGGGGAACCCGTGATTCGATTCTCAAATCCAACATTGGATTGGATGATTTGGCCATTACGGATTGGATTCGTAATCCCAACGTTAATTTCCTTGGTCTTTTGACCGATCTTCATGGACGAGGTTTCTACAGAAGATTGCATTTGAAATCATACGAAGTGCCACCATCCGATCGATTGCTAGCGCTACAAGGACTAGTTGCACTGTACTTTTCCCGCGGGGACAACATCAAGCTGCCACTACTGGTCAACATAAGAGAACTTGGCATCCACGTTCATTGGAATACACAACGTATCCAAGGCGTCAACACAATTGCACTGGCGAGCCGTTTCATGAATCTGGAGCGACTGTTCATCGCCAGACCGAATTTCGAGGAACTTTTGCCGTTCATTCGTCATTCAATTAATTTGAAATACGTAGAAATTGAAGAATATCAGGAAAAAGTTATTAAAATTTATGCATTGAACAAGGAACGCAAAAAGCTGGAGGGAGCGCGCAAAGTGACAATTTACGTCGACGAAGATGTTTATTTGGCTACAAAGTGGGCGAAAGCAGAAACATCGGTCGACTTGATTGAAATCAAACGCAAGGAATCACACTATATCGTTCGCCCGCACAATTTTTGGGTATTCTTCAGATCGAAACAATCCTAGAAGCAGAATTGAAACACATATTCTAAAATTATTTTTCATTCATTTCACAATGTGATTTATTAGTAGGTAATGATTAACATTATTCTAAAATGAAATAAAAGTACAGATAAACCTTAGCACTAGCAATCTGTGCCATTTTTCATAAGGCGTCTCCACTCGCATTGAGTTTGTATTGTGAATGTTGAGGTGCGTGCAACGCCCTTCAATGTAAAAAACGATACAAGTGGAGATGATACACGGGATTTATCTGTACTTTACAAAAAAAAATCATCGATCGGATGTATTGCTATACGATGCTACAAAATACGTTTGTGAATTGAGACTTTGTTATAAGATTTATCTTTCATTGTCTTCGGACGGTTCTTCATAAAATTACATTCTAAAATCCCTTGACCACTTGAAATATTCATTTATGTAAAACTGAACCAATGCAAAATGCACATTAAAACTTAGTCCAAAAATGTAAAATGGAAGCAAAATGTGTTTTTGTTCAATATCTTCTTTATACAGGGCTTCATTGGATTGATGCTAAAGCAAAACTATCTTATATCTCCTCATGAATTTCGAACTTGACCTGTTATTCTCTTGAAAGTCCATTGAGGTCTTGGTAAGTATTTCCAATATATATTTTTAAACGAATTTCAATGTATCTTTATACATTTCAGAAATTCAACATTGTTGCCATAAAATATGCACAATTTGACTCGTTTCATTCGAATGTTTCCAAAGGGAAGAAATCGTATTGGCTTTTGATTGAATTTTTGTTGTAGGGGCTTGTTATAAAAAATGTATGGGGTTTAAATAATTTGATGTTTCTCATCGAATTATTATCGTAAGCACTACATGGAATGTAGTTTTAATCGTAGCATACTTTTTGTTTTATTATTGAAAGTTATTTTGAAAAGTTACACAGTACGACACATGTTTTTTTCCCGTGTCCCTGGCAAGCCCTTTACAGGTCTGAAAGAAGGCCTCAAATGGTGAAGAACTGCATCATTCCTTTTTGAAAGTTAGCTCGTTTAAGCGTTTCATTAAATTCGGCGTTTTCAGTGTTCAGCTTATTGCCAAAGTTACTTTGCATGCCATTTGCTCCCATTTCTGATGGTTTTACGCATATGATCACTTCTACAAAAATGTTCAGGAGAGTCCCCATATTTTCTAAAAAAAATAACTTCACCAAGACACCAACCTTGAAAAGTGTAGGATGCCTATATTACAGGAAATTTTGAAGAAAAGTCGATTTTTCGTGATTTTCATACATTTTCGGGCATTTTGGACATTTCTGACCATATTGACTATCAGTGATATATGCGTAAAACCATCAGAAATGGGAGTAAATGACATGCAAAGTAACTTTGGCAATAAGCTGAACACTGAAAACGCCGAATTTAATGAAACGCTTAAACGAGCTAACTTTCAAAAAGGAATGATGCAGTTCTTCACCATTTGAGGCCTTCTTTCAGACCTGTAAAGGGCTTGCCAGGGACACGAGAAAAAAAACATGTGTCGTACTGTGATTATCAATTATGTTTGATCCGGACGTAATATTTTCTGAAGACGACAAAGTTGACGAGGTGATGTTGGAAATGTCTGTTTCACTTCATCCCGTAAAGGAAAGAAAAATGAAAGCTTCAACTACAAATAAAGCCAAGAAAAATACAATCTGAAAACTACGGTGGATGAATTGCAATCCGGAAAGCGGAAAAAAATGTGTTGGAAAATGCTTTTCCAAATGTTCAATTGTCCAAAAAAAGAAACGCCAATAAATTGTTATAAATCTTTTTAATATTGTCAAAAATAATTGAATAAATCTATATGATGACATTGTATTCTTCACTTATGTGTTTTATGTACATTCAATGTGAATGTCATTGTACATTACTTCACATCGGTAACGAAAAAAGTGTATTTATCTCAATTAAGTGAATGTTTATGTACATGATTTTATTTCGTTTTTGAAATTAGGCGTAATTGCTTCATTTGAAATAAAATATATGGATATAAAAATGAATAAATTTACGGTCCAAAAAATGGCCTAAAGAGTCTTAGAATTTTCTTGGGGGAAAAAAAACAACTGCAGTAGCCTACATTCCATGTAGTGCTAAAAGGCGGATATTTCAGAGCTGCCTTATTCTTTTATTTGAATAGCATTATTTACTTCTCCAAGAGGAGAATCGTAATTCAATCGCATTGATCTAACATACAAGTTTTTTTGGAGGAGAACGATAGGAACAAAAAAAAAATTAAAGTCTATCCCATAAATTTTCTAGTCTACTTTAAAATTGAAACTGTTATCAAATTGAAGAAATGAAGAATCCACACGTACGGTCTTTGTAGTTGCTACCGACCGCAAAAAGTTATTATGAAGTAAAAGTCAATCTCGGTCTTCGTTTTAATCGATAATTTATTTGACGCACGTTTTGAGAAAGAGAATGAACAGCAACTGATTGAGATACTGACATTGAATGATTACCCACGTAAAATGGTTCATCGATCAATCAATAGGCATACCGAAAAGAAAAATAACATATCGACACAACAAATTGATAATAACAAAAACATTATTGCTTGTCACTTACTGAAATTTGTTCCGGGTGTGTCGCGATTGATTGCCATCTCCATACATAAGGTTTGTGATAAAATTCAGATAAAATTCAAAAACAGTAACAATGCCGAAAACTGTTCTCCAAATTCAAAGACAAACAATCACTTGGTGATTCAGCCGATGTAGTTTATCGAGTCGACTGTTGTGATTGTAACAAAGGCTACATTGGCACGTCAGAACAGAATCTTGTGAAAAGAATGAAACAACATGAATCAGACCAGCAATATCGCAGATCTAATAAGAGTGCCTTAGCCAATCAAGCCGTTCAACACGACCACACCTTTGATTTCGACGACGTACAAGATTTAGAAAGAGAACGTTTCCATCACAACGTTGTTGACACAGTCGGTAGTGATTGAACAGTAAGTTTAGCAATTAATGACATGTATTGAAACATTGGTGTTAAGAAAGTAAACGATCCCGAATCACTTTGTTATTTTAAGGCCCTGAAGAAGAGTCGCAAATGACTCGAAACGTTGGCATTTATTTCAAATAAATTATCGATTAAAACGAAGACCGAATTGGCTTTTACTTCATAATGGTTTTATTTGAATCAATTTGACGTAAATTTGAAGAATCTGAACAAAAACCGTAGCCAAATGCTAAATAAAAACGTTTCAAAATTATATCGGCCAAATAATTTTATAGGATGAGCATTTGAATTCAACTTCAATAAATAAAAAAAATATGAATTGACTTTTTACTTCAATCGTGTAATTTTTGTAATTTGAGCTAAACGCGCAATTGAATTATCTCCATTCCAATTCCAATGCCAATTGTTCAGTTTTGATAAGAATTTCGGTTGAAGTGTAAAATTTAGCCCACGCTTTTGTTAGCCGTGTTTCAAAGTTATATAATTTTCTGACAAGCAAAACATTTCTAAGTCGTAATAGAGACAAAATATCAGATTTGAAATCTTTTTTGGTTTACGAACCAATCATTGACGCCAAAAGCGTTCTTCCCTATTTTCAAGTACCGTTTATTTATCTATACATTTGCAAGTTTTAACGTATACTTATCTAAGCCGACATACTATAAAACCGTTGGCATTTCACTGAATAGTTCAGTTGTCGTCTTGGTATTTTGTATGGATGGAAAAGTATCACTGTCTGATTTAAAGGTGTTGAAACGTTATTTTAATCATTTTGTCTAAGGAAGTTTTGTTGGGTGTCTCAGCACAATGTCGAAAATAGTTCTATCGATTTTTGCTCTGGTAATGTGTTCAATCACAGGCCAAACGTTAGCAACTGACGATTGGTGGGAATATGGACACTTTTACCAGGTTTATCCCCGTTCATTTCAAGATAGTGACGGCGATGGGGTCGGAGACTTGAATGGAATCACATCGAGACTATCGCATTTTAAAAATATTGGAGTGACCGGGATATGGCTATCGCCAATTTTTCAAAGTCCGATGAAGGATTTCGGCTACGATATCTCCGACTATAGAGAAATTCAACCGGAGTACGGAACAATGGAAGATTTTGAACGATTGGCACAGCGATGCAAGGAAATGGATATCAAGCTTATTTTGGATTTTGTACCAAATCACAGCAGCGACCAACATGAATGGTTCCAGAAGTCAATCAACCCAAATCATCCTGAATACGAAAAATATAAAGATTATTACATTTGGAACAAAGGGAAATTATTGGAAAATGGCACAAGAGTACCACCAAGTAATTGGCGTTCTGTTTTTCGTGGTAGCGCGTGGAAATGGGCCGAAAGCAGACAAGCATTCTATTTACATCAATTCTTGGAAGAACAAGCGGACTTGGTAAGAAAATATTGTCAAATGAAAACGACGAAATGTGCACCAATAATTTGTATTGATATTTGGCCAACCAAAGAACTTCCGAAATCCAAAAGTGATCGAAGAAATGAATGAAGTGCTGCGATTTTGGTTACGAAAAGGTGTAAGCGGAGTCAGAATTGATGCGGTGCCATTTTTATTTGAAGCAAAAGAAAACAGTGAGGGTTTATATGACGATGAGGGAATAAGCAGTGCCAACAATGATGATCAAAGTTACGAGTATTTAAATCATACTTTAACCTTTGATGTGGACGAAAGTTTTGATTTGGTATATCAATGGCGTAAAATTTTAGATGAGCCAGAATTTTCAAATGAAACACGGTAGATTGCCATCATTCAGTTCTCGTTGTTTTAAAAGTCAGTGTCTTTCGAAATGAAATTATTATTAATACATTTTTGTAAATATTTTCAGTGTTGGTATGTCGGAAGGCTATTCATCATTAGCAAATACGATGCGATATTATGGAAGAGTGAACGATAGTCAGATCGTTGAATACGGAACACAAATTCCATTCAATTTTCAATTAACAGCCACAAACATGACCACAAGTGCTTCGGAATTTAAGAAGATTATCAAAGAGTTCTTTGATAATATGCCCAAAGGCAACCAAATTCACGCGAACTGGTTGGTATGTGACTCTCTTGGATGTTTAAAATTTCAATTCAAAACATAACTTTTTTTAAAAGTTAAAATATGATTGACAAGTGTTACATTGTATTTGTCATTTTGCAACTTTTCTTTAAAAGGTCAACAGCGCCACTTAGATCTTTTTAAGATTTGTACGTTATGAATGGCGCTGTGATGTAACGAAGATATAGGAACCTCATTTACACAAAAATTTTCATACATATTTAATTTTTAAATAATTTTATTTAGATGGGAAATCATGATACAATGCGGATTGCATCGAAATATAAGCCAACACGTACAGATCTATTCAATATCTTGATAAAAACACTACCTGGAATAGCTATCACCTACTATGTAACTTTGATTTTACTTTATTTTAAAATTCTTCCTATGACAAACAACGTTTTTTCCCCCCAAATACAGGGCGAAGAGATTGGAATGACCAACCAATACATTTCATGGAATGATACAATTGATCCAAGAGCATGTCAAACCAATCCAGACATTTTTCATGAGTATTCACGTGATCCGGAACGTACACCAATGCAATGGGACAGTAGTACAAACGCTGGATTCAGTACAGCCAATGAAACATGGCTCCCTGTCGCCGATAATTACACTCTCAACAATGTTGAACTTCAAGAATCGCAGACTGTCAGTCATTTGAAAGTATTCAAGTCACTGATAAAATTACGATCCAATCCTACAATGAAATATGCTGGCGTCGAAATGGAAGTGATCAATGATGATGTGCTCGTGTATAAAAGACAAATGAACGACTCGAAATCGAATCGTGGTTTAGATGACTCCGATATCATAGTAGTGCTTTTGAATTTTGGTACGCAGACGCAGAGTGTCAAACTTGATAGCGTGTTCAATGACACACTGCCACAAAAAATGACGGTGAACATTACCTCAATACAATCGACATCGCTGGTCGTCGGGTAATTTTCTTTTGAATGCGTATTCAAGTATTACTGCTAATATTAATTCATGATTTTCATTGCAGGCAAGAGGTCAATGTACAAAATGTAGATGTTCCACCCGAAGTCGGTGTTGTACTCATCGGAAAACTTTCTCACGCAAATGGCTCCTCCGCACATAACTCAGCAATTTTAGCTCTTATTTGTTGTTTATTGTTCTTCCGCCTTTTTGTTTAGATTCTATTATTATTAATTACATTCTAAAATCCATTAATCCAACTAATGCAAAATCGAGCAAATAAAAACTTAGTCCAAACGTGTAAAACGGAAGCAAGATCTCATTTTGTTCAATATCTCCTCCATGTATGGCTTCATTAGATTGATGCCAATGCAAAACTCTCTTATATCTCTCCCATGAATTTGGCCTGTTATTCTCTTGAAAGCCTATTTAGGTTTTGGTAAGTATATCAAATATATAATTTTCGAGCCAATTTCAATATCCTTTAGCTTTCACAAATTAAACATTTTTACCATAAAATTTGCACAATTTGACTTGTTATTTCTCTAGCAACAAAAATCATCGTTATTATTCAAAAACTCAACGAAACTAACGATGAACCGAAATAAACGTCAAATTCACTTGACAATTGTCTTGACAGCAAAATCCCTTTGATAATTACTGAATGAACGAGTACAGTCGGTCTCTCTGTGCTGAACCATTTGTGCGTCAAGACGTGTTGCTCTTTAGCTTCTGAAGAAATTGAAAATCTCATTTTCTTTTTCGTAAAATATCGCAGTGAAATCCGAGTACTCTGAAATAATATTTCGAAAAGAATTCGTCGATTTTATCAAGGTAGGTGTGATTCTTTGATTTAATCCCATTTTCGCAACAAAATGCAAAATGTTCAAATTTGCGACACTGAGCTTTGTATCGACATACACGACTTCTTCATTTGCTTACATTTTAATCATAACCTCACTACAAAATGGATGTCGATTGACCAATTTTCGAACAATACAAATAATGAAAAAAGACGTTTTGAAAGGAAGAATACAATTAGTGTTAGTTGTGTCATGAAAATAGTTCGACAAAAATGATTGCAGAAATATTTCTTCAAGGAAATTTCGGTGGTCACAATTTTGCTTCAATTGGGATTCAATGTCAAATAGACGGGTATGAATAGAAAATTGCACAAGACCATAAATTCGAATTTTAATCGAGATGTCCATTGGACATTGTCCAATAGAATCAGCATCATTTACCGCTACATGAAATTCGTGTGCCGAATGAAGTGATGCGTCATCAAGTTATATCACGAATTTTTTTGTTCACATTACAAAACAAAATGCCGACTGATTGTGCAGTTTTAGCTGTGTTGGAATAAAAGAGACAAACATACCCATTCTCTTTCTCTTTCTTTCGCACATATTCAAATCTACAGTTCAATGCGAATATCATTAAGTGAAGAAGAATGTTTTTGGTGGTGTTCACACACATTCTGTGTGAGAAATGTAGTGCAACTGAAAATTCGCATTTCATTGGCTCATGAAAGACTTTTCATAACAAACACACATGTATTATTTCTATTGCAGCTGGATAAGTCGTCCGTTATCGTTCATACATTGTCACAGGCTTCGTGATTCCACGAGCAGTGTTCTTCTTCAATGGGCCAACAATAAACAACTGGCAAGGCGAATCAATCCAAACGCTTGCAAACCAAGAACGTTCATACTAGATTTTAATCGTGAGTACAAAAAAAGGTTTCTATTATGGTATCGGAAATATTTCTATAAGTTGATGATAATGGTTTGGGTTTCAATATTCTTTTTCGTTATTAAAAAAATTAATAAACAAATGATTTGTTTGTAAATCGAACATTCACGCGAATTTTACAATATTTGTGTACAAAACGTTCGAAAAATTCCTTTCAATGGACGATTTGTATCAAAATTGCGTATTCATGAAGAGGATCCTTAATTACTCTTTTTTATCTTTTTTTCTGGAACCAAGTAGAACATCGCATTTCGTACCACATTCATACGCATACATCGCGAGGTTGAAGCCAAGTCAACACAATGAGCCAACAAAACGCCAATGAACAAAACCAAATGGAAGTCGTCGAACCAAAACCAAACCAAAATCAAGTGGATGTGGCCGGCGCAATCGCACCAAATGGCGAACCTCAACCGGAGGTCTTTAAATTAGACACCGATTGCTGGGACGATGTGTTTGACTGTCTGTCGCTGAAAGACGTGCATTCGTTTGGCCAAACGTGCAAGGCATTCCAACGAGTCACCGGTGCGTATTTCCAGTGGAAATATGAGGCTGTTTCTGTTCGCTGTTTTAGAAATGAAGCTTATATTGGTAACGATCGTGTCGATGGATTCATCAAATTTGCCAAGAAAGTTCAATTTTATCGCACACTCCCTTACGCTGGATCAGACTTCGAGTCAGTCAAGCAAATCTCTTTTATCCACGTTGATTTACATAAATGGGACATAAATTCGATGAATGTATTGAGCAAAGTGGAACGCCTTGAATTACAGGATTGCAAATTCGATGGAAATATTCTTGGAGCACTTATTGAATCCTGCGTAAATTTAAAACGACTAGAATTTTGGGCCATAGCTTCGTTTAATTGGTCACTTCAAAATCACCCGACACTTCAACACTTGGCATTGAATGGGCATATCACATTTCGGAACGACCAATTGAAGGATTCTCTTGAGAACAACCCAAATATTCGAAGCCTTCAAATCACTGCGAAACTTCTTTGGGAAACACGTGACTCGATTCTCAATTCCGACGTTGAGTTGGATGATTTGGCCATCGTTTTGAGCGATAATTCCAACGATGATATCCTTAGTCTTTTGACCGATCTTCATGGACGAGGTTTCTACAGAAGATTGCATTTGAGATCATATAGAGTTCCACCAGTTGATCGATTGCTATCGCTGCAAGGACTAGTTGCACTGTATTTTTCACCGATTTTTTTCCGCGGGGAAAAGATCGAGCTGCCACCACTGGTCAACATAAGAGAACTTGGCTTCTACGTGCATTGGGGTACATCGCGCAATAACGGTGTCAACACAATTGCACTGGCGAGCCGTTTGATGAATCTGGAGCGACTGTTCATCGCCAGACCGAATTTCGAGGATCTCTTGCCGTTCATTCGTCGTTCAATCAATTTGAAATACGTAGAAATTTACCTATTTAAGGGAAAAGTTCTTGAAATTTATGCGTTGAACAAGGAACGCAAAAAGGTGGAGGGAGCGCGCAAAGTGACAATTTACGTCGACGAAGATGTTTATTTGGCTACAAAAAGTGCGAAAGCAGAAACATTGCTCGGCTTGATTGAAATCAAACGCAAGGAATCACACTATATTGTTCGCCCGCACAATTTTTGGAGACCCTTCAGACCGATATACTTTTAGAAGAAAAATTGAAACACATATTCTAAAATTATTTTTTATTCATTTCACAATGTGAATTATTAGTAGGTTATGATTAACATTATTCTAAAATGAAATAAAATTCACAAAAAAAAATTATCGATCGGATGCATTGCAATACGATCAAGGGGCGAATTACTACTGAAAACCGGT